CGTAGTGAGATTCTACAAGTAGTAGGGAACAATGACAGTCCGTAGTGAGACTCAACAAGTAGTAGGGAACAATGATAGTCCGTAGTGAGATTCTACAAGGAGTAGGGAACAATGATAGTCCGTAGTGAGATTCTACAAGTAGTAGGGAACAATGACAGTCCGTAGTGAGATTCTACAAGTAGTAGGGAACAATGACAGTCCGCAGTGAGATTCTATAAGTAGTGGGGAACAATGACAGTCCGTAGTGAGATTCTACAAGGAGTAGGGAACAATGACAGTCCGTAGTGAGATTCTACAAGTAGTAGGGGAACAATGATTGTCCGTAGTGAGATTCTACAAGGAGTAGGGAACAATGACAGTCCGTAGTGAGATTCTACAAGTAGTAGGGAACAATGACAGTCCGTAGTGAGATTCTACAAGTAGTGGGGAACAATGACAGTCCGTAGTGATATTCTACAAGTAGTAGGGAACAATGACAGTCCGTAGTGAGATTCTACAAGTAGTGGGGAACAATGACAGTCCGTAGTGAGATTCTACAAGTAGTGGGGAACAATGACAGTCCGTAGTGAGATTCTACAAGTAGTGGGGAACAATGATAGTCCGTAGTGAGATTCTACAAGTAGTATGGGAACAATGATAGTCCGTAGTGAGATTCTACAAGGAGTAGGGAACAATGACAGTCCGTAGTGATATTCTACAAGTAGTGGGGAACAATGACAGTCCGTAGTGAGATTCTACAAGTAGTAGGGAACAATGACAGTCCGTAGTGATATTCTACAAGGAGTAGGGAACAATGACAGTCCGTAGTGAGATTCTACAAGTAGTAGGGAACAATGACAGTCCGTAGTGAGATTCTACAAGGAGTAGGGAACAATGACAGTCCGTAGTGATATTCTACAAGTAGTAGGGAAGAATGACAGTCCGTAGTGAGATTCTACGAGTAGTAGGGAACAATGGTAGTCAGTAATGAGACTCAACAAGTAGTGGGGAACAATGACAGTCCGTAGTGAGATTCTACAAGTAGTGGGGAACAATGACAGTCCGTAGTGATATTCTACAAGTAGTAGGGAACAATGACAGTCCGTAGTGAGATTCTATAAGTAGTGGGGAACAATGACAGTCCGTAGTGAGATTCTACAAGTAGTAGGGAACAATGATTGTCCGTAGTGAGATTCTACAAGTAGTAGGGAACAATGATAGTCCGTAGTGAGATTCTACAAGTAGTAGGGGAACAATGATAGTCCATAGTGAGATTCTACAAGTAGTAGGGAACAATGACAGTCCGTAGTGAGATTCTACAAGGAGTAGGGAACAATGACAGTCCGTAGTGAGATTCTACAAGGAGTAGGGAACAATGATTGTCCGTAGTGAGATTCTACAAGTAGTAGGGGAACAATGATAGTCCATAATGAGACTCAACAAGTAGTGGGGAACAATGATAGTCCGTAGTGAGATTCTACAAGTAGTATGGGAACAATGACAATCCGTAATGAGACTCAACAAGTAGTAGGGGAACAATGACAGTCCGTAGTGAGATTCTACAAGTAGTGGGGAACAATGACAGTCCGTAGTGAGATTCTACAAGTAGTGGGGAACAATGACAGTCCGTAGTGAGATTCTACAAGTAGTGGGGAACAATGATAGTCCGTAATGAGACTCAACAAGTAGTAGGGAACAATGACAGTCCGTAGTGAGATTCTACAAGTAGTGGGGAACAATGACAGTCCGTAGTGAGATTCTACAAGTAGTGGTGAACAATGATAGTCCGTAGTGAGATTCTACAAGTAGTGGGGAACAATGACAGTCCGTAGTGAGATTCTACAGGTAGTGGGGAACAATGATAGTCAGTAATGAGACTCAACAAGTAGTGGGGAACAATGATTGTCCGTAGTGAGACTCAACAAGTAGTAGGGAACAATGACCGTCCGTAGTGAGATTCTACAAGTAGTGGGGAACAATGATTGTCCGTAGTGAGATTCTACAAGTAGTGGGGAACAATGACAATCCGTAGTGAGATTCTACAAGTAGTGGGGAACAATGGTAGTCAGTAATGAGACTCAACAAGTAGTAGGGAACAATGACAGTCCGTAGTGAGATTCTACAAGTAGTGGGGAACAATGACAGTCCGTAGTGAGATTCTACAAGTAGTGGGGAACAATGATAGTCCGTAGTGAGATTCTACAAGTAGTTGGGAACAATGATAGTCCGTAGTGAGATTCTATAAGTAGTGGGGAACAATGACAGTCCGTAGTGAGATTCTATAAGTAGTGGGGAACAATGACAGTCCGTAGTGAGATTCTACAAGTAGTGGGGAACAATGACAGTCCGTAGTGAGATTCTACAAGTAGTAGGGAACAATGACAGTCCGTAGTGATATTCTACAAGGAGTAGGGAACAATGACAGTCCGTAGTGAGATTCTACAAGTAGTAGGGAACAATGACAGTCCGTAGTGAGATTCTACAAGGAGTAGGGAACAATGACAGTCCGTAGTGATATTCTACAAGTAGTAGGGAACAATGACAGCCCGTAGTGAGATTCTACGAGTAGTAGGGAACAATGGTAGTCAGTAATGAGACTCAACAAGTAGTGGGGAACAATGACAGTCCGTAGTGAGATTCTACAAGTAGTGGGGAACAATGACAGTCCGTAGTGATATTCTACAAGTAGTAGGGAACAATGACAGTCCGTAGTGAGATTCTATAAGTAGTGGGGAACAATGACAGTCCGTAGTGAGATTCTACAAGTAGTAGGGAACAATGATTGTCCGTAGTGAGATTCTACAAGTAGTAGGGAACAATGATAGTCCGTAGTGAGATTCTACAAGTAGTAGGGGAACAATGATAGTCCATAGTGAGATTCTACAAGTAGTAGGGAACAATGACAGTCCGTAGTGAGATTCTACAAGGAGTAGGGAACAATGACAGTCCGTAGTGAGATTCTACAAGGAGTAGGGAACAATGATTGTCCGTAGTGAGATTCTACAAGTAGTAGGGGAACAATGATAGTCCATAATGAGACTCAACAAGTAGTGGGGAACAATGATAGTCCGTAGTGAGATTCTACAAGTAGTATGGGAACAATGACAGTCCGTAATGAGACTCAACAAGTAGTAGGGGAACAATGACCGTCCGTAGTGAGATTCTACAAGTAGTGGGGAACAATGACAGTCCGTAGTGAGATTCTACAAGTAGTGGGGAACAATGACAGTCCGTAGTGAGATTCTACAAGTAGTGGGGAACAATGATAGTCCGTAATGAGACTCAACAAGTAGTAGGGAACAATGACAGTCCGTAGTGAGATTCTACAAGTAGTGGGGAACAATGACAGTCCGTAGTGAGATTCTACAAGTAGTGGTGAACAATGATAGTCCGTAGTGAGATTCTACAAGTAGTGGGGAACAATGACAGTCCGTAGTGAGATTCTACAGGTAGTGGGGAACAATGACAGTCCGTAATGAGACTCAACAAGTAGTGGGGAACAATGACAGTCCGTAGTGAGACTCAACAAGTAGTAGGGAACAATGACCGTCCGTAGTGAGATTCTACAAGTAGTGGGGAACAATGATTGTCCGTAGTGAGATTCTACAAGTAGTGGGGAACAATGACAGTCCGTAGTGAGATTCTACAAGTAGTGGGGAACAATGACAGTCCGTAGTGAGATTCTACAAGTAGTAGGGAACAATGACAGTCCGTAGTGGGATTCTACAAGTAGTGGGGAACAATGATAGTCCGTAGTGAGATTCTACAAGTAGTGGGGAACAATGACAGTCCGTAGTGAGATTCTACAAGTAGTGGGGAACAATGACAGTCCGTAGTGAGATTCTAAAAGGAGTGGGGAACAATGACAGTCCGTAGTGAGATTCTACAAGTAGTTGGGAACAATGAAAGTCCGTAGTGAGATTCTACAAGTAGTTGGGAACAATGACAGTTCGTAGTAAGATTCTACAAGGAGTAGGGAACAATGATAGTCCATAGTGAGATTCTATAAGTAGTTGGGAACAATGAAAGTCCATAGTGAGATTCTACGAGTAGTCCCACACTCCATGAAGGTTCACATTTCAATGAACTCTCACAAACCGAAAGTCATGGCGTGACGTCATGTTTGCACTGACAGCCATACAACATGGCTGACGGCGGAAAAAATAGTTCCCGAAAACGTGAGATGACATGGGCGTATGTATGACATGAGTGTATATATGACATGAGCGTATGTATGACATGAGCATATGTATGACATGACCCAATGTATGACATTAGCGTCTGCATGATATGACCGTATGCATGACATGACCGTATGCATGACATGACCGTATGTATGGCATGTCCCTCTGTGTGACATGAGCGTATGTATAATAAGACCGTATGTATAACATGACCGAATGTATAACATTAGCGTCTGCATGACATGACCGTATGTATGACATGACCGAATGTATGACATGATAATATGTATGACATGACCGTATGTATGACAAGCCCGAATGTATGACATGACCGTATCTATGACGTATGTATGACATGAGCGTCTGTATAACATGACCGCATGTATGACGTATGTATGACATGACCGTATGCATGACATGACCGCATTTTTTACGTTTGTATGACATGAGAGTATGTGTGATATGAGCTTCTTTATGACATGATTGTATGTATGGCATGTCTGTATGTATTACATGACCGTATGTATGACATGCCAGGATGTATGACATGACCGTATGTATAACATGACCGTATGCATGACATGACCGCATGTATGATATGACCGCATGTTTGACATGGCCGTATTTATGCTGAAATTACTCAGCAGTAACATCTTGTGAAGTCTGGTTACAACCAGTGATTTACTTATATCAGTTGAGAACTTTCTGTGTAGAACTGCTTCAGTAAGTCAGTCAGTGAGAGTACACCCTGATACCGTTACTTAAAGTTACCAACGACTCCCCGGTGCATACTTCACAGCACTACTATTTCAGGTGACGTCACGTGACATGGCTCACCTGGCTGCATCTCGACGTATTTCAGTGGGAGTGCGTCTTTGATTAACTCCACCCTTGCCTCGTCCGCTCCCGTCTGGCCCGCGACTAACCCGTGATCGATGCGGCCACACTTGTGGGACCCTTCCAGAATCTGTAACAACACAGTGTGCCATGGACTGTCGTGAAGGGAGCGACAACAAAGTCACGTGCGTTCATTAAGCTACTTCAAACCTTCAGATGTCAGCCGGGTTACTAGGCCTGCTAATTGTAACAACACGGGTTTAACACACCTCGGAGACTCGACCCAGCGTCAGTGTGATGGGCGAAACCACGAACCTGCAAGTCTAACATGTTTGATTACCTCACAGTCAGCTATGTTCGGTCTATGTCACGGCGATTTGTTTAACGTCATGTAAGAAACAAACCAGACACCAAGTCACATTGCCTGATGCAGTTCTGGTCTATGTCGTGGTACACCAGGAAATGCACCCTGCTGAGCCGCCTGTTCCAGACATGTGATTGAGACAAGAACAGGGTGAAACATGTGTGGGCATTTAAACAGTGCACTGTCGGCTCTTACATGAAGAGTAGGATATTGCCACCTACCTAAAGGCAGTCCCACCCAACTCCAAACAGTCCCACCTACCTCCAGACAGTCCCACCTACCTCGAGACAGTCCCACCTATCTGCAGACAGTCCCACCTACATGTACCTGCAGATAGTCCCACTTACCTCCAGACGGTCCAACGGACCTTCAGGCAGTCACACCTACCTGCAGACAGTCCCACCTACCTCCAGACAATCCCACCTACCTCCAGACAGTCCCACCTAGCTCAGACAGTCCCGATTACCTGCAGACGGTCCCATCTATCTGCAGAAAGTCCAACCTACCGTCAGACAGTCCCATTTACCTCCAGACGGTCCCACGGACCTCCAGACAGTCATACCTACCTGCAGACAGCCTATCCTACCTGCAGACAGTCACACCTACCTGCAGACAGCCCATCCTACCTGCAGAAGTCCCAACTAGCTCAGACAGTACCACCTACCTGCAGACAGTCCCACCTACCTGCAGAGAGTCCCACCTACCTGCAGACAGTCCCACCTACCTGCAGACAGTCCCATCTACCTGCAGACAGTCCCACATACCTGCAGACAGTCCCACCTACCTGCAGACAGCCATTCTCTCGTAAACTGGCGTCCACGGCGATGAAGACACTGATCATGTCGGGGAACAGGATCCCGTTCTGGTACCAGTACCTGGGGTCATCAGACAGTAGGGTTTAAACTAGTCCCACCTACCTGCAGACAGCCCCACCTACTTGTAGACAGTCCCACCTACGTGTAGACAGTCCCACCTACCTGCAGACAGCCCCACCTACCTGCAGACAGTCCCACCTACCTGCAGACAGTCCCACCTACCTGCAGACAGCCCCACCTACCTGCAGACAGTCCCACCTACCTGCAGACTGTCCCACCTACCTGCAGACTGTCCCACCTACCTTCAGACAGTCCAATCTACCTGCAGACAGTCCCACCTACCTGCAGACACCCCCACCTACCTGCAGAAAGTCCCACCTACCTGCAGACAGCCCCATCTACCTGCAGAAAGTCCCAACTACCGTCAGACAGTCCCATTTACCTCCAGACGGTCCCACGGACCTCCAGACCGTTATACCTACCTGCAGACAGTCCCACCTACCTGCAGACAGTCCCACCTACCTGCAGACTGTCCCAACTACCTGCAGACAGTCCCACCTACCTGCAGACAGTCCCACCTACCTGCAGACAGTCCCACCTACCTGCAGACAGTCCCATCTACCTGCAGACAGTCCCACATACCTGCAGACAGTCCCACCTACCTGCAGACAGCCATTCTCTCGTAAACTGGCGTCCACGGCGATGAAGACACTGATCATGTCAGGGAACAGGATCCCGTTCTGGTACCAGTACCTGGGATCATCAGACAGTAGGGTTTAAACTAGTCCCACCTACCTGCAGACAGCCCCACCTACTTGTAGACAGTCCCACCTACGTGTAGACAGTCCCACCTACCTGCAGACAGCCCCACCTACCTGCAGACAGTCCCACCTACCTGCAGACAGTCCCACCTACCTGCAGACAGCCCCACCTACCTGCAGACAGTCCCACCTACCTGCAGACTGTCCCACCTACCTGCAGACTGTCCCACCTACCTTCAGACAGTCCAACCTACCTGCAGACAGTCCCACCTACCTGCAGACACCCCCACCTACCTGCAGACAGTCCCACCTACCTGCAGACAGTCCCACCTACCTGCAGACAGCCCCATCTACCTGCAGAAAGTCCCAACTACCGTCAGACAGTCCCATTTACCTCCAGACGGTCCCACGGACCTCCAGACCGTTATACCTACCTGCAGACAGTCCCACCTACCTGCAGACAGTCCCACCTACCTGCAGACTGTCCCAACTACCTGCAGACAGTCCCACCTACCTGCAGACAGTCCCACCTACCTGCAGACAGTCCCATCTATCTGCAGAAGGTCCCACCTACCGTCAGACAGTCCCATTTACCTCCAGACGGTCCCACGGACCTCCAGACCGTTATACCTACCCGCAGACAGCCCCACCTACCTGCAGACAGTCCCACCTACCTGCAGACTGTCCCACCTACCTTCAGACAGTCCAACCTACCTGCAGACAGTCCCACCTACCTGCAGACAGTCCCACCTACCTGCATACACCCCCACCTACCTGCAGACAGCCCCATCTACCTGCAGAAAGTCCCAACTACCGTCAGACAGTCCCATTTACCTCCAGACGGTCCCACGGACCTCCAGACCGTTATACCTACCTGCAGACAGTCCCACCTACCTGCAGACAGTCCCACCTACCTGCAGACTGTCCCAACTACCTGCAGACAGTCCCACCTACCTGCAGACAGTCCCATCTATCTGCAGAAGGTCCCACCTACCGTCAGACAGTCCCATTTACCTCCAGACGGTCCCACGGACCTCCAGACCGTTATACCTACCCGCAGACAGCCCCACCTACCTGCAGACAGTCCCACCTACCTGCAGACAGTCCCACCTACCCGCAGACAGTCCCACCTACCTGCAGACTGTCCCAACTACCTGCAGACGGTCCCACCTACCTGCAGACAGTCCCACCTACCTGCAGACAGCCCCACCTACCTGCAGACAGTCCCACCTACCTGCAGACTGTCCCACCTACCTGCAGACTGTCCCACCTACCTTCAGACAGTCCAACCTACCTGCAGACACCCCCACCTACCTGCAGACAGTCCCACCTACCTGCAGACTGTCCCAACTACCTGCAGACTGTCCCAACTACCTGCAGACAGTCCCACCTACCTGCAGACAGTCCCACCTACCTGCAGACAGTCCCATCTATCTGCAGAAGGTCCCACCTACCGTCAGACAGTCCCATTTACCTCCAGACGGTCCCACGGACCTCCAGACCGTTATACCTACCCGCAGACAGCCCCACCTACCTGCAGACAGTCCCACCTACCTGCAGACTGTCCCACCTACCTTCAGACAGTCCAACCTACCTGCAGACAGTCCCACCTACCTGCAGACAGTCCCACCTACCTGCAGACAGTCCCATCTACCTGCAGACAGTCCCACATACCTGCAGACAGTCCAACCTACCTGCAGACAGTCCCATCTATCTGCAGAAGGTCCCAACTACCGTCAGACAGTCCCATTTACCTCCAGACGGTCCCACGGACCTGCAGACCGTTATACCTACCTGCAGACAGTCCCACCTACCTGCAGACAGTCCCACCTACCTGCAGACTGTCCCAACTACCTGCAGACAGTCCCACCTACCTGCAGACAGTCCCATCTATCTGCAGAAGGTCCCACCTACCGTCAGACAGTCCCATTTACCTCCAGACGGTCCCACGGACCTCCAGACCGTTATACCTACCCGCAGACAGCCCCACCTACCTGCAGACAGTCCCACCTACCTGCAGACAGTCCCACCTACCCGCAGACAGTCCCACCTACCTGCAGACTGTCCCAACTACCTGCAGACTGTCCCACCTACCTGCAGACAGTCCCACCTACCTGCAGACAGTCCCACCTACCTGCAGACACCCCCACCTACCTGCAGACAGTCGCACCTACCTGCAGACAGCCCCATCTACCTGCAGAAAGTCCCACCTACCGTCAGACAGTCCCATTTACCTCCAGACGGTCCCACGGACCTCCAGACAGTCATACCTACCTGTAGACAGCCCATCCTACCTGCAGACAGTCACACCTACCTGCAGACAGCCCATCCTACCTGCAGACAGTCCCACATACCTGCAGACAGTCCCACATACCTGCAGACAGTCCCACCTACCTGCAGAGAGTCCCACCTATCTGCAGACAGTCCCACATATCTGCAGACAGTCCCACCTACCTGCAGAAAGTCCCACCTACCTGCAGACAGTTCCACCTACCTGCAGACAGTCCCACCTATCTGCAGACAGTCACACCTACCTGCAGACAGTCACACCTACCTGCAGACAGTCCCACCTATCTGCAGACAGTCCCACCTACCTGCAGAAAGTCCCACCTACCTGCAGACAGTCCCACATACCTGCAGACAGCCGTTCTCTCGTACACTGGTGTCCAGGGCGATGAAGACACTGATCATGTCGGGGAACAGGATCCCATTCTGGTACCAGTACCTGGGATCATCAGACAGTAGGGTTTAAACTAGTGTGCGAATCGATGGAGAGGTATGTTTAAATTTCCTTCGTGTAGAATCTCATTCCTTTGTGTTCCCCCCAGTGAACATTGCAGTATTGCTTCGGGTATAAATCATGCAGATCTACAAACACATCTATCGTTCGATGTTGAGCTCATTATTGTTCTTCGGGAAAATCAAAGAGATGAGAGCGAGCAAAACATGTCGGATGTGTACGTATGGCTTTTGTGCAAGTCCCTTTAGACCCATCTTCCCGAGGCAAGAGAGTTAGCTAACTATTAAAGTCCAGTTTCCACCCTTGCCGAATAGGCTAGAATTCCTGGGCTCGATCGAAGCGCAACCAGTGGTTATAACGAGTAACGTCCCTTCTAAGCCTCTCCTATGGACCAGTCAGATCCCACCTCTCGTTTCACTTGCATTTGTTTCAAACAAAATGGCGGCGCCCAGTCAAGACGATCTGATCGATAATCAATATCTATATTGCGATAAAACGGGTCTTACATCGCGAAGTGCATCAAATCACGCGAGTACTTTGATTAAAACATGAAAAGATCTGGAAAATATCTGTTGACAACGAAATGGCGTTGCATATGCTTTGCAAATCCTGCAATCGACCGAAATCTGCACGACAGTTTACGAACCGGATATCAATTTCGTCGCGCGATTTTGATTGGACTATGCATAGACTCGTTAGTCCAGCCAAAATGTAACTCAATAATACCAGCCTAGTTCGGCAAGGGTTGCAACTGGACTTTTATAGTCAGTTAACTCTCTTGCCTCGGGAAGATGCTTTAGATCATAGAGCACTGATGACTATACACGTTGATAACTATACTAGCTTACATCTGCGTCAAGACCCGTGAGATCCGGGGTAAAATAGGTCTTCAGCAACCCATGCTTGTCGTAAAAGGCGACTATGCTTGTCGTAAGAGGCGACTAACAGGATCGGGTGGTCAGGCTCGCTGACTTGTTTGATGCCTGTCATCGATCCCAACTGCGTGGATCGATGCTCACGCTTTCAATCACTGGATTGTCTGGTCCAAACTCGATAACTTACAGACCGCCGTAATATAGCTGGAATATTGCTGAGTTCGGCGTTAAACAACAAACCAACAACAACAACAAAACATCAAAGTCGAGGGTCCTCTTGTATCGCCTAGCATAATGACTATGAACGCAAAAGCGTGAGTATTAACAAAGCACCTTTATCCTTTTGTTTTTGTAAATCGAGAAATCACTTTCCTAAAATTGATGGCTAGATTCACTCCAGATGTCGTGTCACGATTTTCGTTCCCGCAATGGCTCGCACTTCGGCGTGCCAATGATTAAAGTCTTCGGGAACGAGCGTGAGGAGTGTGTGAAGGGTGCGGGGTACGTGCCATGTCGTAGAGAGAATTTCAAAATGTTCAAAAATTTGGCACGCATCTATTTTCGTGCCATGTGCGTGCCACTTGCGTGAACCATGCGTGAACACTGCACGAACTCGGCACGAACACTGCCGACGGTGCATGTCAATGCGTGCCATGGGAATCCACTACACGTTCTGACACGCCATGCCACGCATTGGTCATGAACTGTTCACGTTGTGGGCGCGCCTGTTCCCGCCGCGTTCATGCATACGAGCGTGTCGCGGAGTGATCGTGCGGTCGTTAGGGTGTTGTCACCAGTTGTTCACGTAATCATGAAACGCCCAGCTCACGCATAGGTCGCGCACGTCACGAACCATTCGCGCAATGCACGAACTGCTCACGAAGTGTTTACGCATTGTTCGTGAGTAGTTCCCGACCAATGAACGACGACGGCGCTCGTGTCAGTGCGTATGTAAGCGGGTCCTGGCCATTCTGCAACTTGCCAGCATACGGACAACATGCCTTACAAAGAGAAAGTCCGTAGAAGAAGGGGAAGACCAGTGCAGAAAAGACAGGAAGAGGACAGGCCAGAGACAGAGAAAGAGACAGAGATTGCAGACAGGGAGAGGGGTCTTTCTCCTCCTTCCTACTGCTCAAGTGTGGATGTTGTTCCACAGATACAACTTGAAGTTATTACAGAGACTTAAATAGAACTGTCAAGTGAAGAAGAGCCCACAATAAATCAGAGTGTCCAAGGAAGAAATTCCTGAGTTTAAGTGGACAGATGAGGGTACCATGAAATTAGCAGAATATGTAAAAGACTACCCACAGTTGTATGACAAGAGACACAAGGACTGGCTCAATGGGACACCACCCTCTGCCCTAACATCAACATACAAGAACTTATACCTAGCATCTGCAACTGCCATGAGTACAATGCTGTGGAAGCCCTTGTAATTATAATAGAGGGAGCCTGCTTTGAGTGGCTTCTTCATAGGAACGTGCTTGCCGTCCAGGGCCCCCAGACAGTTGTGGTGGTTCCATCTGGAGCTGAACATCTCAGCAACCTCCTTCCACTCTTCTTCAGTTTGGGGGCAGCTGAGCACTTCGTCCTTGAAGACCTCAATGATGGCTTTGCACACCTCTGGTAAGAACTTGCAGATTGTACTTGCTTCAACTCTGAAGCTGTACTGTGGACTTGAATAAGAATTTCCAGTGACTAGGAAGCAGAGGGTGGCAGCCAGCTTGAGTCCAACTTCAAGCGGTTCTCTCATGAATGTGGTCTCTTTCTTAAGGTGAGGGGTTAACTGCTCCACCATCTCTTGGAACAGGTCAGGTGTCATTATCAGGTAATTCCTTTAGCCTCTGTGATCTTCCTTATGGAGTCCAGTCAATAGCTGATCATAGTGTCCGAAATCATGTCTTCTAGCCAGCCATTCCCTAACCCACCCTGCCCTTGCTTTCCTTGTTCTAGTTAGGGATGTCTCTTCTTCTTTCTCATGCTCTACCTCTTGCTCTTGCTGCTTTTTCTCATGCTCTTCAAGAAGTAATAGTCCTGCAGCTGCCAGATAGAGACACCTTCTCTGTTCTGCAATAACAGTGTCTCTGGTATTCAGCATGTTGTATCGTCCACAGCGAGTCGAGGAATGAAGCGTCTCTTCTATTTGGAGTTTATTTACATACGCCAAAAACGGGATTTGAAGCGAGACAAAGCGTGACCAAAATTGCCACGACGACTTCACGCATGCGCGAAGTCGTCAGGGCAATGCGTGGAGAAGCGGGAAAACAGCGGGAACTATGCGTGTCGTGTGTGACACTGCGGGACATTGCGGTACAGTAGTCGTGAACAATGCGCGAACAATACTTAACCTATACGTAAACAAGTCGTGCCATTGCGTGTCAATGCGGCCCATTTTTGGCCGTGCGTTGCGTAGACATTGCGTAACTTATGCGTGTACAGTGTGCGAACAGGGCGCAAACGCGGCTTCACCCTTCGCTGCGTACCACCGAAATGGCGCGCCTTGCCACGACGCATTGCGCGGCATTGCAGGGACCAAAATCGTGCAAGTGTCAGGGTGGCTTAAAAAGGCCATGGTCCATGTTAGAGTGAATGTTGTTAGCAGGTTATTCCGCGGTCTCAAGCCAAAAAGTTATCCACAAAATGTGCAATTGGATTAGTTGAAAAAATATTACATTTTGGACGAGGATGAACTTGCAAGGACATCCTGATTAAACACACACTCCTTTATTACCATCCTATACGTGGGTCGTCGCAGTGCACGCATCACAGCGTCATAGAAAGACTTCATTATCACAGATCTCCCATTCTTTTAAACAATTGATCGGATTTCTTTTTGTAATTATCATCATATTCACCTTGCAAAATACGGACTAACATATATGTAGATGGCATATATCATTTAACACCATTGTCAGAATTACCCGTAGTCCTGGTGCCAGACAAACTGCCCTCCAGTCCTCGCGTCCTTCATGTTAATCTTGGAGTGGTAGTGGAACACCTCGCCTCCCAGCAACTGGCAACACAAAACAAGTCCGAGCGGGCGAGAATGTCCCTTACAGTATTCCATACCTAACTGATTAATAATCGCATGCTTGTCAAACGTAAGCAAGAGACAGACTTTTTTCCATCAGCTGTCAAAGAATGTCATGGAGACATTTTTTAATTATTTTTTTTGCTTTCACATGTTTGTTTGTTTAAAGTCGCACTCAGCAATATTCCAGCTATATGACGTCGGTCTGTAAATAATCGACTCTGGACCAGACAATCCAGTGATTAACATCATGAGCATCGATCTACGCAATTGGGATACGATGACATGTATCAACTAAGACAGCAAGGTAAGTAAGGATATGATATATGGATGAACAACTTCTTTATTACAATCAGGAGCGACGTTTCCGTGTAGGTTATCACTTGCTTGATAACGGTGTTAGAACCTACACGGAAACGTCGCTCCTAATTGTAATAAAGAAGTTGTTTATCCATATATCATATCCTTACTTACTTAGACTCCAACTTCTAAATGCCTCTCACAGAAGCAAGTCAGCGAATCTGACCACCCGATGCCGTGAGTCGCCTCTTACGACAAGCATAGTCACCTCTTACCATAAACATGGGTTTGCTGAGCACCAATTCTGACCTGGATACTCACGGATGTGTTTTTACGTGTGTTGTGTGTAGTCATAAATATCTAGGTAAGCAAGAGAAGTACATGAAATCAGAATAATATCGGATATACCTTTTCACAAGTCCTCACAACCCTTTCACTGCGCGTGACAAGACCTGTGACGTCATCACCTGGTTGTTTCCAACATGCCACGCGAGTCTTCCTTCCAGTGTTGTCATCTGTCTGAAATTTGTATCGAGATTTGAATATGACATGAAATAAAGCCTCGGCACGGCAACCATATTGGCAATATATTTTATAGTTTTAATAATTTAACAGGCTATCCAGTAAAAGCCATCTCTTTTTCTACAAAAGTGAGTAAGTGAGTTGGGTTTAACGCCGCTTTTAACAGTATTTCAGTTATATCACGGCGTGTCAGCTTAATGTGGGAGGAAAGCCCGAAGTGATGCAGGTCTCAGACGTTTACCACTTCGGTGAAACCCACGAGCACGGGTATGGTGCTGACAAATTTTTCTACTATAGTCTGACTGTGGTTCATATACTTCTTAAATTGTCCGTAAGGTACACAACGCTAAAATAACATAGTTTCCAGTAAAAGAGTTTTAAACTATAGCTTCTAATGACGTTTTAAACAAATATTCGGTATTTTCCATTTTTTTAGTGCAATATATGCAGCACACATACATGCAATGACAGTTGACACGCAGCTTGATAAACTATACCAGTTTGTAAAACAAGGTTATTTAATGAAAACGAAGTGAGCAATGAAAGCAATAAGCTCATATGAGAAACAAAGCATGTTGTTATGTTGACGAACAAAGGTCATTTAGAAACAACCATTAAACTGACTACAACAAGAGCTTGTCTAACTTTGCAAGTGTGCACGTGTCAGTCATTCAATTGGTCAGGTACTTCACTAAGTCATCCCATTGGTCATGTACTTCACTAACACTGACTAAGTCATCCCATTGGTCACGTACCTCACTAAAATTAAGTCATCCCATTGGTCAGGTACTTCACTAACACTAAGTCATCCCATTGGTCACGTATTTCACTAACACTAAGTCATCCCATTGGTCATGTACTTCACTAACACTAAGTCATCCCATTGGTCAGGTACTTCACTAACACTAAGTCATCCCATTGGTCAGGTACTTCACTAACACCAAGTCATCCCATTGGTCAGGTACTTCACTAACACTAAGTCATCCCATTGGTCATGTACTACACTAACACTAAGTCATCCCATTGGTCATGTACTTCACTAACACTAAGTCATACCATTGGTCATGTATTTCACTAACACTAAGTCACCCCATTGGTCATGTACTTCACTAACACTGACTATAAGTCATCCCATTGGTCAGGTACTTCACTAACACTAAGTCATCCCATTGGTCATGTACTTCACTAACACTAAGTCATCCCATTGGTCATGTACTTCACTAACACTAAGTCATCCCATTGGTCAGGTACTTCATTAACACTTAGTCATCCCATTGGTCATGTACTTCACTAACACTGACTATAAGTCATCCCATTGGTCATGTATTTCACTAACACTAAGTCACCCCATTGGTCAGGTACTTCACTAACACTGACTAAGTCATCCCATTGGTCAGGTACTTCACTAACACTAAGTCATCCCATTGGTCATGTACTTCACTAACACTAAGTCATCCCATTGGTCATGTACTTCACTAACACTAAGTCATCCCAATGGTCATGTACTTCACTAACACTAAGTCATCCCATTGGTCATGTACTTCACTAACACTAAGTCATCCCATTGGTCATGTATTTCACCAACACTAAGTCAACCCATAGTGTTGCAATATAGTCTGGGGCTCAGTGAAACTTTGTAATCTGTGAGTGTTGTGTTGCGGCATAGTCTGGGGCTCAGTGAAACTTTGTCATCTGTGAGTGTTGTGTTGCGGCATAGTCTGAGGCTCAGTGAAACGTTGTTATCTGTGAGTGTTGTGTTGCGGCAGAGTCTGGGTCTGTGTGAAACTTTGTTATCTGTGAGTGTTTTGTTGAAGCATAGACTGGGGCTCAGTGAAACTTTGTAATCTGTGAGTGTTGAGTTGTAGCATAGACTGGGGCTCAGTGAAACTTTGTAATCTGTGAGTGTTGAGTTGTAGCATAGACTGGGGCTCAGTGAAACTTTGTGATTTGTGAGTGTTGAGTTGTAGCATAGACTGGGGCTCAGTGAAACTTTGTAATCTGTGAGTGTTGAGTTGTAGCATAGACTGGGGCTCAGTGAAACTTTGTAATCTGTGAGTGTTGAGTTGTAGCATAGACTGGGGCTCAGTGAAACTTTGTGATTTCTGAGTGTTTAGTTGTAGCATAGACTGGGGCTCAGTGAAACTTTGTTATCTGTGAGTGTTGTGTTGCGCATAGACTGGGGCTCAGTGAAACTTTGTGATTTGTGAGTGTTGTGCTGTAGCATAGACTGGGGCTCAGTGAAACTTTGTTATTTATGAGTGTTGTGTTGCGGCATAGTCTGAGGCTCAGTGAAACCTTGTTATCTGTGAGTGTTGTGTTGTAGCATAGTCTGGGGCTCAGTGAAACTTTGTGATTTGTGAGTGTTGTCGTATTGTCTTTGGCTCAGTGAAACTTTGTAATCTGTGAGTGTTGTGTTGTAGCATAGTCTTTGGCTCAGTGAAACTTTGTTATCTGTGAGTGTTGTGTTGTAGCATAGTCTTGGGCGGTGTGAAACTTTGTTATCTGTGAGTGTTGTATTGTAGCATAGACTGGGGCTGTGTGAAACTTTATTATCTGTGAGTGTTGTGTTGTAGCATAGTCTGGGGCTCAGTGAAACTTTGTGATTTGTGAGTGTTGTGTTGTAGCATAGACTGGGGCTCAGTGAAACTTTGTGATTTGTGAGTGTTGTGTTGTCGTATTGTGTTTTGCTCAGTGAAACTGAGTTATCTGTGAGTGTTGTGTTGCGCATAGACTGGGGCTGTGTGAAACTTTGTGATTTGTGAGTGTTGTGTTGTAGCATAGTCTGGGGCTCAGTGAAACTTTGTGATTTGTGAGTGTTGTGTTGTAGCATAATCTGGGGCTGTGTGAAACTTTATTATTTATGAGTGTTGTGTTGTAGCATAGACTGGGGCTGTGTGAAACTTTGTGATTTGTGAGTGTTGTGTTGTAGCATAGACTGGGGCTGTGTGAAACTTTATTATCTGTGAGTGTTGTGTTGTAGCATAGTCTGGGGCTCAGTGAAACTTTGTGATTTGTGAGTGTTGTATTGTAGCAGAGACTGGGGCTCAGTGAAACTTTGTGATTTGTGAGTGTTGTGTTGTCGTATTGTGTTTTGCTCAGTGAAACTGTGTTATCTGTGAGTGTTGTGTTGTAGCATAGACTGGGGCTGTGTGAAACTTTGTGATTTGTGAGTGTTGTGTTGTAGCATAGACTGGGGCTGTGTGAAACTTTATTATCTGTGAGTGTTGTGTTGTAGCATAGTCTGGGGCTCAGTGAAACTTTGTGATTTGTGAGTGTTGTATTGTAGCAGAGACTGGGGCTCAGTGGAACTTTGTGATTTGTGAGTGTTGTGTTGTCGTATTGTGTTTTGCTCAGTGAAACTGTGTTATCTGTGAGTGTTGTGTTGCGCATAGACTGGGGCTCAGTGAAACTTTGTGATTTGTGAGTGTTGTGTTGTAGCATAGACTGGGGCTCAGTGAAACTTTGTGATTTGTGAGTGTTGTGTTGTAGCATAGACTGGGGCTCAGTGAAACTTTGTGATTTGTGAGTGTTGTGTTGTAGCATAGTCTGGGGCTCAGTGAAACTTTGTGATTTGTGAGTGTTGTCGTATTGTCTTTGGCTCAGTGAAACTTTGTAATCTGTGAGTGTTGTGTTGTAGCATAGTCTGGGGCTCAGTGAAACTTTGTTATCTGTGAGTGTTGTGTTGTAGCATAGTCTTGGGCGGTGTGAAACTTTGTTATCTGTGAATGTTGTATTGTAGCATAGACTGGGGCTGTGTGAAACTTTATTATCTGTGAGTGTTGTGTTGTAGCATAGTCTGGGGCTCATTGAAACTTTGTAATCTGTCAGTAAAGTGTTGCGACATAGTCTGGGGCTGTGTGAAACTTTGTTATCTGTGAGTGTTGTGTTGTAGCATAGACTGGGGCTGTGTGAAACTTTGTTATCTGTGAGTGTTGTGTTGCGGCATAGTCTTGGGCTGTGTCAAACTTTGTTATCTGTGAGTGTTGTGTTGTCGTATAGTCTTTGGCTCAGTGAAACTTTGTTATCTGTGAGTGTTGTGCTGTAGCATAGTCTGGGGCTCAGTGAAACTTTGTAATCTGTCAGTATTGTGTTGCCGCATAGTCTTGGGCTGTGTGAAACTTTGTTATCTGTGAGTGTTGTGCTGTAGCATAGTCTGGGGCTCAGTGAAACTTTGTTATCTGTGAGTGTTGTGCTGTAGCATAGTCTGGGGCTCTGTGAAACTTTGTAATCTGTCAGTATTGTGTTGCGGCATAGTCTTGGGCTGTGTGAAACTTTGTTATCTGTGAGTGTTGTGTTGTAGCATAGTCTGGGGCGGTGTGAAACTTTGTTATCTGTGAGTGTTATGTTGTAGCTTAGACTGGGGCTGTGTGAAACTTTGTTATCTGTGAGTGTTGTGTTGCGGCATAGTCTGGGGCTGTGTGAAACTTTGTTATCTGTGAGTGTTGTGTTGTAGCATAGACTGTGGCTGTGTGAAACTTTGTTATCTGTGAGTGTTGTGTTGCCGCATAGTCTGGGGCTGTGTGAAACTTTGTTATCTGTGAGTGTTGTGTAGCGGCATAGTCTTGGGCTGTGTGAAACTTTGTTATCTGTGAGTGTTGTGTTGCGGCATAGTCTGGGGCTCAGTGAAACTTTGTAATATCCGAGTATTGTGTTGCCGTATAGTCTTTGGCTCAGTGAAACTTTGTTATCTGTGAGTGTTGTGTTGCGGCATAGTCTGGGGCACAGTGAAACTTTGTAATCTCCGAGTATTGTGTTGTCGTATTGTGTTTGGCTCAGTGAAACTTTGTTATCTGTGAGTGTTGTGTTGTAGCATAGTCTGGGGCTGTGTGAAACTTTGTTATCTGTGAGTGTTGTGTTGAAGCATAGACTGGGGCTCAGTGAAACTTTGTTATCTGTGAGTGTTGTGTTGTAGCATAGACTGGGGCGGTGTGCAACTTTGTTATCTGTGAGTGTTGTGTTGCGGCATAGTCTGGGGCTGTGTGAAACTTTGTTATCTA